GCGCTTGGTCCCTACTTTTTGTTTTTGTTACGCGATTGGTCCCTATCTTACCTAAAAAACTATTATTTAAATAGGAAAAAATGGTATGATAGGTAAACTAAGGTAATGGGGGTTGGGGTTAGGGTGTGTTTATTTAGATATTTTTAAAAATCAAGGGAAAAGTAGGTTTTTTAGGTAAGATAGGGACCAAGCGTGTAACAAAAACAAACAGTAGGGACCTTCCGAGTTAAAAAGATAAATTAGGGACCAAACGCGCAAATTATCCTAAACCATAAGGACCATTCGTGTAATTTACTCTTAAAAAAACTATATAAATATATTCTTGCGCAACACGCGGGGATTCGTCTAGTATACTTATAAAAAAGATATTTTTACTTACACTATATGCATTTGAAATCTCTATGACTTTTCAATTTCTTTTTAATAATTATTCTAAATTGGTTAATAATGTCAAGTTAATGTAAAAACTAAATTCTAATATAATGTTAAACGGTTAACAAAAAAACCATGAAACTATTTTTTATAATCATTAAGATTTTTCAAATAAGAAGCTTAAAAATAACTTACAATAAGAATAGCTAAATGTAATATTATATATAAAAAAATGCAATATTATCTTTAAAAACTAAAACAATGTTTGTTGTTATAAATAACTACAATCAAAGAAACTAACTAGATTTATTAAATAAATTTTAAAATAGTTAAATTGAAACCAAATTAAAATAATTAAAAGTTTCTAAATATGTTATTTTAAATAACTTACAACAACAATACTTAAAGTAACATTATATATAAAAATTGTATTGTTAACTTTAAAAACAAAAACCATGTTTGATGTTTTAAATAATTAAAATGATAAAAATTAAAATCTTAAGCAAATAAACTTTTTAAAATTCATTAATCATAACAACAACTACAAATATCATTAAACCATGTGTTTATAGAAGAGACATTTTTACTTGCACCACATGCATTTGAAACCTCTATAAATTTTTAATTTCTTTCTAATTCTAATAAAAGAATTAGTTTATTCTCATTTTGTCATGTCTCACTATATTAGATCTCATAATTAATGTCATATAACATGTCAACTTATTGATTCTCTAACTCCAATTTCAAATTTTAAATTTCTCACTCTAATTATATTAAATTAAGAACATTAATTTATTAACATTAATTTTAAAAATTAAAATTTAATTATTAGAAATTATAAGGCCATGTATTTATTTAAATCAATTATTATAATTTTATATAACTAAAAAATATATCTTTTGATTAATAATTTATTTAAAATAATTAATTAATAATTTTGAGTTTTCACTATGAAAATTTAATTAATTTAATAATTATGGTGTCTCATGGGTTATAAACTTATATATATATATATATATATATATATATATATATATATATATATATATATGTATATATGTATATTATAGGAAAAAGTTCAATAGAGAATCATTGTTAATCAATGAACCAAATAATCAATCAAAAGCGTCGAAATTTAAAGTTATAAACAGCAAAAGAAAGAGTTGTAGACTTTTACAATGGATGCATGTGTATTGAATTATAATAAAACTCACTTCCTTTTTTCGTTTAAAAAAATTTTTAGGCCATAATTTTTTTCGAAAAAAAAAGTAAAAAATCGAATATATCGTTGTTCATAATTTTTCGTCCTCTTTCTTTAGAGATCCATGATTATATATAAAAAACGAACTTTCTTTTTTTCGAAAAAAAAACTCATTTCATTTTCTTTGTTGAAAAAAGTTAAAGTCTATCTTTTTATAGAAAAAAATTAATAAATATATCAAAATTCATATTTTTTGATACTTTTAAACATATATATATATATATATATATATATATATATATATATATATATATATATATATATTCATGTTAATAAAAACGATATTGCAGTTCAGATTCACATTGTGAACCTTCTCAGATTTACAGTGATTGAGTTTTTTCACATTGTGAATATTAAAAATTGAAATAGCTACACTGATTGAGTTTATTTATTTATTATTTTTTTTAAATATTTTTTAAGTCGGTGTTGATGCTTATTAATATAGTACAAAAAAAATAATTTTTTTTGGATAATTAGTTTTTTTTATAAAAATAAACTTAAATATTGAAAAAACTAACAAAATGAATTAAGTTTTTTGGGAAAAAAAAGTTCGTTTTTTATTTATCAACATGGATCTCTATGGAAAGATCACGAAAAATCGAGAACAACGATATATTCAGGGTTTTTTTTTTTTTTTAATAAAAATGCGGCCTAAAAAATTTTAAACGAAAAAAGATGTGAGTCTTTTGGTAAGCGATGTGATTTTTTGATATAATTTGTTATGTGTGCGTCTAATGTACAAGTGTACATATATTTCATTGGTCGTTGATTATTATGATCTCCGATACTCACGATTGATTTTTTGGTTCCTTGTTAATTATGGTTTTCCATTGAACCTCACTATATATATATATATATATATATATATATATATATATATATATATATATATATATATATATATACACAGAGAGAGAGAGAGAGAGAGAGAGAGAGATAGGTGGGTTCAATTGAAAAAATAAAAAAGGTTGAGAATGGAAGAATCATTCTCAGCCACTCATTTAATCTAAGCATAAAAAGATACGATGACAAATTTGTAAATATATTAATAACGTTCAATCTCAAATACGTATCGATAACGGTTTGTTCATCATCAATAATTTTCCTCCAACCTTCAATAATCATGCAGATTTCTTCAACTAAACCGGAATTTATTCGTTGTTCATGAAATTGGAATCGGAGTTCTGGACTCCCAGTCACAGTCGACATTGAAGGACTCAGAATCGGTACTCACAGGTTCCCAATTGGATTTTCGGAAATCAAAATCAAAATGAGAAATCGATCAGACATAAGATGTCGCATTTGAAGTCGAAATCGGAAGTATATGATTATTTGGAATTAATAACTTGATGTTTTTAACATTTTTAAAATAGTTAACTTGTATGCACTCCAACTGTTTGATGAAATACATAAACTGAATTACCACGTTATATTAACATATGAATATGTTTTCTCACCTGAATTAGTATATGATTATTAAAAACACAAAACAAATATGCAATTCTGTATGTTATTCGTATGTGAATAACATATAAAAATTATATATATTTATCAAAATACCTTCAAATATTCATAAGTGAATATATTCACAAGTGATTATACCTTGTAATATTCGTATGTGAATATACTGTGTAATATTCATAAGTGAATATATCATCTAATATTCACAAGTGAATATAGTATGTAATATTCACATTTGATATACCACGGAATACTATGTAATATTTGTTGGATTAGTGTCTAAGTCCATAACTATTTTCGTATGTACTTGACCCGATGGTGCATGGTCCTTTTGGGTTGCCTTCACCAAAACAACTTGATAGGATGAATTATGGAGAGAAATGATTAAATATGATTTATTAATATATTATGAGAATAATATAAAAGGAGAAATCATATTGTTTAATTAATATTAGTTAAGAATTAATTGGTAATTAGTTTTGTGTGACTAAAAGAGATTAATTAAACTTAAGGGACTGAAATTGTAATTATAAGATAATTGCAATTTGGGCTATGGATTGCCTTATATTAAGGAGTGGACGAATTCTATGGGAAAGCCCATGAGGAAATCGTCCAAGTCCTTAAGGAAAAGAATCTATGGGTTGCTTAGGGCTTAAGCATCCGATTTAGGGTTTCCTTGTTAGATAACCCTGATAGCCTAACTATATATACATCCCTTATGACCCAAAAACGTGGCCAAGCATCCTTCTAGGGTTTCACACGTTTTAGGGCAACCTCCATCCTCTCTCCTCTTCATCCTCTTGCTCTTGGTGTTTGTGAACCATTAGAGGAGTAACATTTGTGACTCTAAGCTTTCTAAAGTCAATACAAGGAGGAATTGGATTGTTATTGCTACATAACAATCAAGATAATGTCTTAAACCCATTCTTATGTTAATATGATTACTTGTATGCTAGAATTAGGGTTTATAGTCTTGGATAACTTGCATGTACAATAGAAAAACCTAGATCCAAGCATTAGGGTTTGTATGAGCACATAGGATGTTCTTATCAACAAAACCCATCAATATTCACATATGAAATATTATTTAATACTCATAAGTGAATATATCTTCTAATATTCACAAGTGAATATACTATGTTAATATTCACAAGTGAATGCATCGTCCAATATTAAAATATGAATATACTATGTTTATTATATTCTATATTTATATATAAATGATACTTAAATTGTAAAAAAAAAAAATCATATCTTTTATTCCTAAGTGAATAACGAATGTACTGTAATAAAACCTGATGTATTTTTATTCACTTATGAATAACGATAGCTGAAAATATAAATTTTTTAATTTTTTATTTTATCTTAAAACTATATCAATATTGATGTCTATTTATAGAGAATAAAAAATCATGAATTTTGGTATATTTAAAATCATTTTTTGATAAAAATAGCTTCTAAAAATTAAAAAAAAAAAAAACGAAAAAAACTATATTTTTGTATATATCAAGGTAATGATTAGCATAGTTTAAGGAAATATATTTTGTTGGAAAACACATGTGCATTCCTTTCCAATTTCCGCCAGTACGTTGAACGTTTTTACGGCAAAAATAAATGATTGGGTGAGAATGATTCCCCAATTCTCAATCTTTTTTTTTTTTTTTGTCAATTGAACCCTCCCATATATATATATATATATATATATATATATATATATATATATATATATATATATATATATATATATATATTCTACATCGGAAAGTCTTAAATTACCATATAATAATCCACAAATTTAAAAAAAAAAAGGAGGTTTATGATGGTTTTACAAACTTTTTTACAAGGTAATCGACGTCTGAGATGTCTTGTTTGGCGGTGCTACCGGTTGACAATGATAGTATGATTGATGGACATCGTCGATCTTAAAAGAGAAAGGTGGGGGAAGAAGTTTCCATTATCAATAGTGAAAGAGAATGGTGGAGTAAGTAACCGCCAATGGTGTAACTACCGTTAATGGTGAAAGAGAAGGTCCAATGGAGTTTATGTTAGGGGAACATATGAATTAGATCTGAACGATTCAGAATTGTAGGGTTTTTTTTGTTTTTTGTTTTTTTTTTTTTTTTTGTTTTTTTTTCTGGCCGATTAAGAGGTGTTTACAAGCCAAACACGTTAATTACTTAACGGTTTAAAGGTCGTATTTGTTTATGTTTTATTGCCTCTTAATAAGAAGTCATTTTTTTTTCTGGCCGATTAAGAGGTGTTTACAAGCCAAACACGTTAATTGCTTAACGGTTTAAAGGTCGTATTTGTTTATGTTTTATTGCCTCTTAATAAGAAGTCACTAGCGTTTGTTTGCTTCTCACTTGAATGTGAAATAAACATCTTAACCGAACAAGACTTAGGAGGAGTCTGAATGAAACACACACACAACACACACACACGGTTGCCCATTAGGCCCTTACGCTTCTCCTTCTCCTTCTCCTTCAATCGACTCCACCACTTCATCTGAGCGAATCACACCTGCTTCTCCTTCCGCCACCACCGGCCCTCTAATCCTTCAATTGATGGTCGTAGGCTCCTCTGAAATCGACGTATCTGAAAAGACATCGCTTGCCATCTGTTTCCCTCTGCTACGCTCCTCCTTCAGTCACGCCTCTGCAATCATCTCCCTTCCAAACGACGCACAGATTCAGAGCCGACCCTCACCATCGGCGACAGCAACCACCGATCGCCGTCTTCCTCCGGCCATTCTCTGTCGGTGAGTTTGTTTTTTTCCTCCAATTTTGAAATCGATTTTCACAGAATCGAGTTTTTGATATTGATTTTCACAGAATCTAGTTATCGAAATCGAAACCTGAAATTCGTCTGAAATCGAGATTTTGAAGAATCTATACAGAAAAATTATTCGTATAAAAATTCCTAACATTGTTGTGTAGTGTGTACACGTACGAAGTAGCGTAGGCGTTAAAACTCAAGCACGTCGCTTTCACGCGTTTGCACGTGCAGGTGGCCATTGTTGTCAAATTTAGCGTAAGCGTTTAAACCTTTCTTCAATTGTTTGATTGATTGTAGATACAACAATGGTGAGATACGTATACTTAGGGTTCCAAATCTACGGAGAAACCCCTCTCTTCTCTCGCAATTAAGTTTTCTCTCGAATTATTATAGAGAATTCATTGTAGCGTTAATTGATTGGTCCGATTTGTTACGAGTTAGTTTCATAGATTGCTTTCTGATTGTTATAATTTAAAGCTCGGTACAAACAGTAAGTTCTTGATTTTTCTGGTGTTTTTCTATAGTTTTATTGATCAAATTCGATCCTGTTCAACATGTATAATCGTTTCCGTGCTTTTGCTTCTGATTCTTTGCCTATATGTTTGCTAGTTAATTCTGTTTTATTTGAAGAAAGTTAATGAACGATAGCTGGAATTCGGTGTAATTATGTTGATTCATACTTTTTTTTTTTTGGCTGTTATTGTTATTAATGATTCAGATGTTATTAATGATTCTTGCATCAATATATCTTCCTTTGATGTACACTGCAACTTTTGGGAAAATAATGATGCCTGTTTTATAAATTCACAAACTTTTTTATCGAAATGTGAACTGAATTCTAAGTTTTATATGATAAATTTAATACTTATTTACTTCCACATGTTTCCATTTCTTCTTGATTTTTCAATTCCATAAACCTATTTCATCAATACACTTACAAATCACTCATAAAATTCAAGATATTCTTGCTCCTAGGAGCTGGTTTGATCATTGTGTTGCAGCTCATGGTTAGGTAATGAAGAATATACATGAGAGGACTGATTCTTCAAAAAATTCTTATACAAGTTCAACTGATTCTCCAGATCATAGAATTTGTGGTTCTTCTTCTTCTTCCAACTATTCTGAAGCAGGATCAAGCTCCCACAAATCCCTAAAATCATCATCATTGTGGTCAGGATTCTTCGGATCTGCCTTTTCAGTTTTTGACACCCAAAAGAAGGACTCCACCACCACCACCACCACTAGAAGCCATGGTTGGACTGCAGCTGTGAAGAGAGTCATGAATGGTGGCTCAATGAGGCGAATTCAAGAACGTGTTTTGGGTTACAAAACCAATGTTTCTAACTCAATAAGTGATATTTGGCTTCTAGGTGTTTGCTACAAAATTTGTCTACAAGACCCTTCTCAAGAACCTATTCATACCACTGGATATGCTGCTTTTTCTCAAGATTTTTCTTCAAGAATCTTGATGACATACCGAAAAGGTTTCTTTTTTTTTTTTTACTTTATTCTTATTAAACTTACCACATGATTACATATATATATATAAACACAATAGCTTTTCTTTCCTCTAGGCTTTGTTGCTATTGGTGATTCAAAGTACACAAGTGATGTAAATTGGGGTTGTATGCTTCGAAGCAGTCAGATGCTTGTTGCTCAGGTTTTTATTTTTTTTCATTTCCACTCAATTTTGAGCAAATTTGATACTTGATTTTTTGTATATTTTGTTTTGTTAGGCATTGGTAGTACATCAACTAGGTAGATCTTGGAGAAAACCTTCACAACAGGTGTGATACATATAAATATATATAATTATATATATCTAATGATTCATAAAAAGTAAAACAACTGGAATACCATTTATACCCTTTAACTCTTTTTGCTAATAATACAAATGCAGCCATATGAAGAAGATTACATTTCAATACTACACAATTTTGGTGATTCTGAAGACTCACCTTTCTCCATTCACAATCTCCTTAAATCTGGAGAGGGTTATGCCCTTGCTCCAGGATCATGGGTGGGGCCCTACGCAATGAGTCGCACATGGGAGACACTCGCACGTAAAAAAATTGACGAAAATAACCTTCAAGATAACTCCTTTCCAATGGCTATTTATGTTGTTTCTGGTGATGAAGATGGGGAACGTGGTGGGGCCCCTGTTCTTTGCATTCAAGATGCTTCAACTCAATGCTCTCAATTTTCAAGAAACCAAGTTGAATTTTCACCTTTGCTTTTGCTTGTTCCTTTGGTTCTTGGTCTTGATAAAGTCAATCCTAGGTACCTAAATATCTAATGTTTCCTTAATTTTTTATAGTTTTATATTTTTATTATTATTGTATTTGACTTGTTATGTAATTATGTAAACCAGATATCTACCACTGTTAGCAGCTACATTTACATTTCCACAAAGCCTTGGCATATTGGGTGGGAGACCTGGTGCTTCTACTTATATCATTGGTGTTCAGGATGATAAAGCCTTTTATCTTGATCCTCATGAAGTTCAACAGGTTTATTTTTATATTATTTTAATAATCTCAAAACATAATTTCTTCAATTTATATTATTCTTTTATATTACCTTTAGGCTGTTAATATAAGCAAGGATAATTTGGAGGCTGATACTTCTTCCTATCATTGCAAGTATGTATTTTTATTATGATATTAATTTATTTATTAAAAGTTTTTTATCCTTTTTCATAATGTGGCATCTGATTATAAATAAATTGTTGATTCCAGTGTTGTACGCCAAATTCCACTTGAATCCATCGATCCATCACTGGCTATTGGATTTTATTGCCGAGATAAAGGTAGACAAGGAATGGAATCAGCGATTCCTGAATTCGATTTTTGAACTTTTTTTTTTGTTTGTGGGCAGATGATTTTGAAGATTTTTGTTCACGGGCATCGGAGTTAGCAGCGGAATCGAATGGGGCACCGCTATTCACAGTGACTCAGACGCGCCACATGGCAAAGCCAGGTGGCACAAGTAAGGGTGAAGAGGAGGTTGATTCCTTTGATGGAGTTGATGATGCTGAGGGCTCTGCGCAAGATGAGTGGCAGCTTCTTTGATTCCGATTCCGATTTCGTGATTGTGATTGTGATTCCGGGGTTGGGGAAAATGTATGTGGTTTTTCTCAACCCTGTGGGTAGGTTTCTGCTTTGGTTATTTTAAGACGGAAGTTGTACATGGTGCTTGTATGATTGTAAACCTCGGAGGAGTTGTTTTAGGTGTTGGTTGTGTTTGTGTTTGTGTTTGTTAGAAGATGTGTTGCGATTTGGTTGTTCATATTCTTTTATAAATCTCAGATGGTTGCATTCTTTTATGTTTATAATAAGATAACTGTTGATATAAATTCTATTGCTATTTAATTTCGTATACAATGTCTACTTAAGGTATTTTATCAAAAATCAAAACTAGAAAATTTTGAGAAAAGGAGAAATATGGTTAAATTTCATTTAATATTTTGTAAAAAATAGTGGCATAATCGACATATCCACCGTTTTCGCAGATGATCTGCGAAATGCCGATTAGCGAAATCACAAAACAATGTTATTTTAAAAATTACACGAATCGTTCCTCGTGCAGGTACCAAAAGACACGTTTAGTCTCTATTTTCAAAAATTAACTCGGACCGTCCCTCATCCGGATGAAACCTGCACGTTTCATCCCTCGTTAGTTTTAATCGACACGCTTCATCCCTTCCCATACATGAAAAGACTATAATGCCTTTGTACATTATTATTTTTAATTAATTTATTATTTAACTATTATTTATATCTTTTAAAATAAAGATGGTACCACCTAGACACCTACCATCCTTGGCCTTCGTTCATATTCCAGATCTAGGGCTGTAAACGAACCAAACGAACACGAACAAGGTCTTGTTCATGTTCGTTCGTTTAAGTTAGCCGAACAACAAACGAACACGAACGGATAAACGAACGAGATTTTCTTGTTCATGTTCGTTCGTTTAACAAATTACCGTGTTCATGTTCGTTCATTTATGTTCGTGAACATGCTAAACGAACAAACATAAACGAACAAAGCTAAAAAAACACAATTGAACATATATGAACATAAACGAACATATAATATAGCAATATAATAAAAAATAATTGAATATATATGAACATAAATAAACTTAAACGAACGAATATAAACGAACGTAAATGAACATCATAAACGAACGTTCACGAACATAAATGAACGAACGAGACCATTGTTCATGTTCGTCATTTAACTAAACGAACGATAATTTTTGTTCATGTTCATTCATTTATTAAATAAACGAACATAAACGAACTTCCCACCGAACAGTTCATGAACGGTTCGCCGAACGTTCAGTTCGTTTACAGCCCTATCCAGATCTACTTTTCTTTGATTGAATACTTACAAACAATTTCACAGCATGTATAGCAAGATCGAGCACTTTTTTTTGGATCATCATCGGAGGAATTGATTCACGACCCTGTTTCCCCAAATCTGGCATTGTGTCCCCCCAAAATGTGTTTTAAATCTCTAAACCTGATGTTCAAACACATGACGAGTTCCAGATCTGGTTTTTCCGACTGGATAGTGGATACTGTCAGATAATTTGATCGCACGTATAGCGGAATCGAATGCCTTTTTTGGATCATCACCGAAAGACATTAATTCACGATTTCAACCTTAGTTTCTTACTAGAAGCTTTAGATTTCGTTTTCGATTCAATTTTGGAATTTTCGACGGAGATGAAGGTTTAGCAACCGAAGATTCATTCGATTGATTCAACTGATTTGTTTTCTAGTTGTCATCAACTATTACAATGGTTACTGTTGTTCCTTCTCCTCATTTTTTACTTTGATGTTTGAAAAATCACCTCAAGCAAATTGGTGTTGATTTCTTACAGGGCCGATTTTAGGTTTGAGGATATCATCTTGAAAATCGATGTTGATACAGGTTTTAGATTAGGATTTTCTATTTATTAGTGTTAGATTTTGGTTTGTTTTGGTTCCAGATTTTAGAAAATTGGTATTGATTTCATCTTCGTTTAAGCTTTAGATTATGGTTTTAGTATTAGGTTTCAGATTGTGGTTCTAGTTTTAGATTTGGTGGTTGAAGGAGGCAACAATGGTGAATGCAGGAGATGTCGGTGGTGGTGTCGAAATGTATTCGATAGTGATTTGGTGGAGGATTGTTTCAAAAGAGAGAATGAGAGGATGATGAGGAACGATGGACAAAAGGAGGTAGGATCACAAATATTTAATATCTTTTAAAATAATTATATACTTAAATTAAAGGCAATATAAATAAATTAAAACATTAAAATAAATTATTAAGGGCAATATAGTCATTTTATGTCTGGAGGGATCAAACGTGTCAGTTTCACCCAAATAAGGGACGATCCGAGTTAATTTTTGAAAATAGGGACTAAACGTGTCTTTTGACACCTCCACGCACGAGGGAAGATTCGTGTAATTTACTCAAAAAAGAATTTTGTAGATGCTATCTGCCAAAATAAAATAAACTGGTTTTTTATTTTTGTTAATTTATTTATTTTTTGTTGTTAAATCTTTAAGGCCCATTTCGAAAAAAAAAAGTGTTTTTTTTTCTTCGGAACAGCTGAACAAAAAATGTTTTATGTTGTAATTTTAATCTGCAAAAACAAAGATCTATGAAAATATTAATTTTTTATATATGATGTAAAAATTCAAAAGTAATAAAAAAAATAAAATAAAATAAAACTTTAATGTCGTTATACTGATTCCGCATATACATGCAAAATATATGTGAAATTATTGACTATTTAAGTGAAGGCTAAAAAAAAGAAAAAAATAAAACTTTAATGTCGTTATACTGATTCCGCATATACATGCAAAATATATGTGAAATTATTGACTATTTAAGTGAAGGCTACTTTTGTTTTTGTTTTTTTTATTATAACTCTTTTATATTGTCTTTAGTAGTTAAAGGATTTGTTAGGAATGGTAGATGCGAGTTTCATAAATATCTATTTTAATCAATCATATTTTTTACATTTAAAATCCATAATTACTTGTGAGTTGCATTTAAAAAAAATCAACTCATAACCAGTTTAATCATTACCATATGCTTTTGAGGATCGTAGTAATACAAAATTGATAAATTGACACCAACTAGAGGTGCCAAAAATCGACGAAATGAAATTAAGACATAATCGAATTTCGAATTTATGTTTGTGTTGTGTATAAGAAACACGATATAGTGTCCTGTTCAGATTTCAACACGATAACAGATGGAAACATCATGTTCATGCTCAAAAGTTGTGTATATTTAGTAGCATTCTATAATATTTTATGTTATTTTTCGGTGTTATTTATGTTCAAATTTTTTTTTACAAGAACTTATGTATAACATTATGCAAAATGTTACTTTTGTCATGTTATTGTGTTTTTCGTCTTTTATTTAGCTGTGTTCATGTTAACTAAAAAAAACATTATCATATTGTGTCGTGCTTAGATTAAGAAAAAATAATAATATGTATAGTTTTGAAATGATAATTGGGTTGGTGACGTTCCACAAAAGCTGTATTGTTTGGAAATCGAAAACGAGTGATTGGTATAAGAAACAAAAAAAACACGGGAATATTTGAAGATGAAATTGGCGACACAAAATCTATGGTGGGGTCAAGAACGCATCAAGAAGGGCTGGTGGGTGTTATCACCGGTGATCGAGATAAAATGATAAATGAATTTGAGAGTTGGATGTTTCGAATAACATTACAATAAATTATACTAGAAAGTTTATTGATAAAATGATAAATGAATTGGAGAGTTGGATGTTTCAAATAACATTACAATAAATTATACTAGAAAGTTTATTGATGGTGATATAAGGTGAAATCGTTTTGTATCTAGAAAAGGTAAACATATTAATGTTGAGGTTCCGTAAACATTCTCCCAACAAAACCTAATTTGCTCAATAGAGGAGTGGGTGTGCCTTCGTTAATGTGCCCGGTGTGTTCAAATTACAAAATTTGGAATAGTTGTTCATTGAATGTGAAGTGGGAGCTAAAACCTGAAATGTTATTTCTCATTAGATTAGGGGTAATAATTTTCGACGCAGCACGTAAACCGACAAAAAAATAAAATAAACGGATTTTAGTTGAGATTTCTGATCCAACAAGCCACCAACCTGTTTATTTTATGGGTTGGGTTGGGTTACCTATTTGAGTTTACGGATCAACCTGTAATTCTGAATATATATATATATATATATATATATATATATATATATATATATATATATATATATATATATATATAAAATATAAATTTTTAAATAGGAATCAATAGAATATACACAATTTTACTTTACATTAATGTTTTTAATATATTTAGATGTTTATTAGTTTATGACTTTATAATTTTATGTTGGAAACATTTTTTTATCAAATTGTTTCTTATTAAATTATTATCTTAGATTCGTATTTGGTTGCTCATTTCATTCTCGTAAATGTAAAATGCCAATTAATAATTAATTTAGAGAGGTGTATAATTCTTATAAATTTAACATGTGAACAGTTATCCGAAAAATGACTCACTAACACGCGAACTCATTATACTTAAACATGTTATGTAGGTTAGGTTGAGTTGATGTTTTCAACATGTGACTCGTCAATCCGACAACCCATATGTTATATGGGTTGGGTTGGGTCAATCTATATTAATCCGCCAACCCATCAATCTGAATCCAATCCAATTGTTAGGAATGGATATTGGTTTGTCCGTTTGGAATTCGGTTATGAATATTTTTCAAGGGTTGATGCGTAACAAATGACAAACATGGAAAATTCAACTCTTAAAGCTTAAAGCTATAGTGATGACTACTTTGTAGGGTCTGAGACGATTATTGGAATCTCAATATTTGAAATGCAACCAACAAAAATTAAAGACAATATGTGGGGTTGTAGTTGGTTATTCATATTTTTTTAATCGTGAAAATTTCGTATATATCGTTCTTAAACATCAAGAAATATCGTATTTGTTCAATCTAATTTTTAAATATCATATTATCTTTTATAAGCTCTCAAAATATCAAATTTGCCTAAGTCCTTAATTTTAACATTTTTAAATATTTTATAATCAATTTAAATTCCCATTTTTCTTATTTGACTATTATATCTTTCTTCTAAATCGAAATTGAAAATATCATCACATATAACATTTACCCAAATCTAATATATATATATATATATATATATATATATATATATATATATATATATATATATATATATATATATATATATATATATATAAAAGGGTTCAATTGAAAAAAAATAGTTGAGAATGGAGAATTATTCTCAACCAGTCATTTATTTTTACCCCAAAA